GCACTGGCTGATTCTACTTCGGGACGAGCAGTTGCACGCAGCTCTACCACCCTCCCGTGCCCGACTGCCCCCTCTGGAGTCCTCACTGGTCTCCACATACCCTCGTTCTCCAAGAACTTGGTGGGTGTTGAATACCTTCAGGACCGCCTTATCGGCGCCTGGTTTCCTCCGTCTGAGCGGGTTGAGACATGCGTGGACGATGACACTTACGCTCCCCTGGCCGATTTTCGCCGGGAGCGGGGCTCCGGTCTCTTCACACTACACACTGACTCTACCCAGGTAGTCGCGTCAGGTCAGGTTGCTGCGTCTTGCTATTTTCGGTCACTCACCCACACGACAGTCTTGTGGCACCACCCTCTTGGTCACCCGTCCATCCCACGCCTCCGTAGCATGTTCAGCCAGCGTCTTGTCTCCAATCTCCCGCGTGTCCTAGAGTCGCTCCCTCCTTCGCCTGCGCCGCCGTGCACTCCTTGCGGGGTCCAGACCCTCGCCCTGGGCCTGAGAAGGAGAGCTACTTTTTGGTGGTCATTGCCAACTACTCCCGTTACACCACGGTGTTCCCCCCTGGCGAAGTAGTTCGGTGTGATTTCTATGCTGATCCGGTGGTTACTGGCCACTGAGGCCACTCGTGGTAGTCGTGCTGTTTGTCTCCACTCCGACCGTGGGGGTGGGGTTTTGCTCCGGCATTCTTCCCGGTGCTGCGAGCAGGGCATCACCTAGTCTTGGACGCTTTCGGAGTCCCCATAACAGAATGGGGTTGCTGAGCGCCGCATCGGCTTGGTCATGGAGATCGCCCGCACCTCCATGATCCATGCCCGTGGACTCCATTTTCTGTGGCCCTGCGTGGTCCGCTACGCCGCCCACCACCTGAAGCTCTGGCCTCGTGTATCACGGCCAGAGGCTTCACCGACCAGTTTTTCGATCGGGTCCCCTAATGTTGCGTTGGAGTTTCGTGTCTGGGGATGCCTTGCGCTTGTCGGCAACACCTCTGCGTACAAGCTCTCAGCTCGCGCCATTCCCTGTGTCTTCCTTGGTTTCCCGGTGGACGCCCCTGACTTCACGTTTCACCACCTGCCCCTCCACCAGTTTCTGGACTCTCGTGATGTCGGGTTTGACGAGTATGTGTCCTACTATACCTGCTACCCCTGTCGAAGCCTCCCGGTCCCCCCCCCCCCCTCCCTCCCCTTTTCCTCGCCCCCGCTCCTCCTCCTCCTCCTCCTCCTCCCACTCCTCCGGTACACCCGCCCCCCCCTGGTCCTGCCCTGTCTGGTGTGTCCCACGCTACCCCTCTCCCCTCGGTAGCACGTCAGGTACCCCCCCCCCTCCCCACAGTCGTCCTCACAGTCACCACAACATCAGTCAGCACTACCGCGACAGGTTGCCGTGGACTCTGGGGTTGTTGGTGTTGGAGGCACGGGTGCTCGAGGTGGTGGGTCTGAGGGTGCTGGAGCTGAGGGTGCTGGCACTGGAGGTGCTGGTTGTGAGGGTGCGGGAGCTGAGAGTACTGGCACTGGAGGTGCTAGTTCTGGGGTGGCTGGAGCTGAGGGTACATGCACTGGAGGTGCTAGTTATGGGTGTGCTGGAGTTGTTGGTACTGGCACTGCGGGTGGTCCTTTTGGGGGTGCTAGAGTTGTTCGGACTGGAACCAGAGGTGCTCGTGCTGAGGGCACTGGAGCTGGCGGCTCTGTTGCTCCGCCTCCCCTCAGCTACCAAACGGGTTTCCAGGAGCTTCTTCAGCTTGCGTGTGAGGAGCGGGAGGGGTTGGAGCTGGAGCAGCTTCAGCAGGAGTTGCAGCAGCAGGAGCTGCGGCAGCAGCAGTAGGAGTTGCAGCGGTAGGAGCTACAGCAACAGCAGAAGCCGCAGCAGTCCCTACAGTCACTTTTGCAGCAGATACCACCTGTGAGTGGCCTTCGGGCCCTTGGTCTCCCTTCCCCCTCTAAGGACCGCTCACCGCCTCCTACTGCTCACGGTCTTCCTTCTCCGGACCCATCCCTGGTTGTTTTCTCTCCTCCTTGTTCATTGCCCGCTCCTCCTGTTGTCTCACACTCTTGCGTCACCCCCTATCCCCCACGTGCTCGTCCCTCGTCTCCTGATGACGACCTCCGCACTGTCTTGCTTCGTTCTATTCCTCGTTGTTCTCTGCCTGAGTCTGTACCTTCTGAGTCGTTTTTACTACCACGCCGCTCCTCCTGTTGTCTCACGTGTTCTCGTGTCTCTTTTGACGGACCCTACTGCCCCCCCCTCGTCTATCTCGGCTCTTGTTGCCGTTGTTGGTGACTTTGCTGCCACTCGCCGCCTTGACTACACCGCCCGCGTAATGGCTGCCCATCCTCTGGCCGCTGGGGGTGAGTCTGCCCTTGGCAGTGACGTCCTAGAGGACAGGCCGTTTGGGCTGGAGTTTTTTACAGTCGCTTCTTCCCATCTCTGTGCCATGCTGCTAGCCCCTGAGGGAGATCCGGCGCCCTTGACAAACCAACTCCTCGCACGTACCGTGAGGCAGTGTCAGGGCAGTGGGCCTCTCAGTGGATACCGGCCATGGACTCAGAGATGGCGTCTTGAGATCCACAGGCACTTACGTCAACGCAGTTCCCCCTCCTAGGCCAACGTAGTCGATGTCATGTATCTTCAAAGTGAAGCGGCCGACAGGATCACAGCGTGTCTTCAAGGCGCGCTATGTGGCTAGGGGCTTCAATCAGCGTGAGGGACTTGACTTATTCCAGACCTTCGCTCCGACCCCGAAGATGACTACTCCTCGGGGTCGGACAGAATGGCTTCCCCAAGCGAGATGTTTACAAGGGATTGTAGGTCGCCCTCGGATTGGTCCATGAAGGAATACTATGGAGAGAGCGTAGCGATAGCGAGAGAGTTTCTGCTATGTGAATGGTGTTGCGCCAGCAACTCGGTAGAGTTTCGGTAGCGTAAGTCTCAAATGACTAAGTGAGAAACCAAGTAGCAATTGGAATTCACTAGAAATTGTACTATGATCCATGAATACAAAAGCAAACACACAAGATTGATATTGGCAGACGAGAGTTCACAAAAGGTTGCGTGGCGCTTCGGTGTAAGCCAACCCCACGAAAGTGGTGTGTGGGTGAGCGAACGCACCTCACCAAATTCCCAACCCAACTCAGCAGGGAAGTCAATGCCGAGCACGCCGATTCTCCCAGCACAGCTAGAAATGGCGAGACTCACCACGAACTACTCACAACTTCCCTAGACTAGCACACACTTCCCAAGAAGCATAGCCACGACTTCCTTAAGCTAGCACCACCACAGCAGTGACTTCATTAGCGCCGTCATAGTCGCACAATGTCAGCACTCAACCATCTCGAAGTCATAGGGTCGGTGCAGGGCAGCGTATAGTCTTGGTCGTTCATGGACCTGCCAAGTCAAGGCACATCGTCGAGGGCCTTGCTGTCGCAGTGTCCTTTAACACTCCCCTGCCATACTACAACAAGGCCTATTATAATCACAGGGCATGCATATACACATACACACCAAATCAAAGGGACAAAAACAAACGAAGCACTCTCAGAGTGCAAACACGCACCGCACCAGCCATGGATAGGCCATGGCACCATCCCCATCATGGAGTGTCTAGGTCTCACTCCCCTCGCTCGAGAGCCGCACCTGCCCCACAGCCTCGAAGCAACGGCTGAAGGCGGGGAAATGCAACGCATTTGTCAGGTAGTCAGCTGGCTGCTCGCTCGTCGGGATGTACTGTAGCTGCAGCTTCCTGCGCTTGACCATGTGCTGCAGCCACATGTGGCGACGCTCCATGTGCTTGAGGCTCCCCTTGAGCCCCATGCCACCTGCCACTGAAATGGCGGAGGAGTTATCCACAAAGAGAGTAGTGGGCTCCTCACTCCTCAGCAGTTGAAACTCTGCCAGCAGGAAGTGCAGCCTGCATGCCTCCTTCCCTGCCTCCACAGCAGCAACGTAGTCAGACTCAGTGGAGGAGAGGGTGGTGCAACGAATCCTCTGACTCGCCCAAGAGACAGCAGCACCCCGGAGCACGAAGACATAGCCACCAGTGCTGGTCCTGTTCTGCTTGTCCCCTGCATCATCAGCATCGGCGTAGCCTACCAGCTCCAAGGACTCCGGGCCACCACCAAACTCCAGCGCCACATCCCTGCTCCCCACCAAGTATGCCAAGCACCGGTCCAACTCCCTCCAGTGGTGATCACTCCGCACAGTCTGGCCCGACCCCAACTTGCTGCAGGCGAACGAGATGTCGGGACGGGTGGTACAGGCCGCGAACTGCAAGGATCCCACCTTCTGCCTGTACTCCTCCTCCTGGCGAGACTGCCATCCCACATCCTCGAAGGTCTGCACACTGAAAGGGTCAGAGGAAAGAGGGGTGCGAGGCACTCGCATCGGGTGCTCCCCGTCAAAGAAGCGCCTATGGACCTTGTCCACATTGGCCCCCTGGTGCAGCCACAGCCTCCTCGTAGGCATGTCCCGAACCAGCTGCAACCCCAGATACTTCTCCACAGGGCTAATCTCCCGCAGCTGAAAGGCACTCTGCAGCAGGTCACGCAGCTTCCCCAGCATGCTCTGACTGCGGCTGGCAGCAAGCAAGTCATCCACATACACCAGCAGCCAGCACATCTCCCCCTCAGCATCACTCTTGAAGTAGAGAGAGCCTCATCCACCAAAGTCCACTCCCGCCACCTGCGTGAACCCCTTCACCACCAGCCTCGCCTTCTCACGTTCCACTACCCCATTCGGTCGGAACTTGGTGTTCAAGATCCAGCGGTTCTTCATCACATTCAACCCATGCGGACGCGGAACCAACTCCCACGTCCCCTGCTCAATCAAACTCCGCATCTCCTCATACATCGCCTCCTTCACCTTGTCGCCCTTCCAGCAGCCCAAGGCCTCCTTCACTGTCATCTTCGCTAGATCCCACTGCCTCTCAGGGTCGGCCACCACATCTGGGTCCAGGTCCGTCCACTCCTCGTCCTCCTCCTCGTCATCCAAACCCGCCGGCTCAACCACTACTGCCCAAGCATACTTAACAGGCGGGACACCACAAGTGATGCGAGTGGAGCGACGCAGCGGTGCAGTGATCCTCCCAGAAACCAACACACGACCACCATCTCTAATTCCCCACATCTTTTGCTCCCTGTCTGCGGCTCCCCTGTCTGCTGCTTCCTTGGCTGCTGGTCCACCATCTGTTGCTCCCCAATCTGCTCTTCCCCTATCTGCTGCTCCCCTGTCTGCTGCTCCCCTGTCTTCTGCTCCCATATCTCCTGCCCCCCACTCTGCTGCACTCCATCCATGATGCTCTCGTCCTGCAGCTGCTCAGTCACAAGGCGCTGCCCGTCGGTGTTCACCACAGACGGTGGCACCACTGTCCCCCCCTCACCACCGTGAAAGACGAAGAGGAGGGTGGGGCAGGTGCAGGAGGGATGGAGGGGGAAAGGGGAGAGGGAATAATAGGAGGAGGAGGGGAAGCCAAGGGGGGTTGCGGTAGGAGGGACCACACGAGGATACACCGTAGGAGGAGGTGGGGTGGGAACTGAGGTAAGGACGTAGGGCATAGCAGGAGGTGCGACCACTTCCTCCTCCTCCACCTCCTCCTCAAGAGTGCCTGGGAAGAGTGAAGGAAGGGGCTCATAGGGCATCGGACGCCCCCCATGCTCCTGTTGATGCCAAGCCTTCCATCCTGCCAAGGACATGGTCTCATAGAAAACTGCTTCCACAGTGGTGATGAGGCGGCTGGACTCCAAGTCCAGCACGTGCCAGCCCTTGCTTGCTGCTGACACCCCCAAGTGCAATCCCCAGCGAGCCTTAGGCGCCAACTTTTCCCCACGCTGCGACTGCGGCACCATGTACTGCAGCATGCAGCCCCAGACACGCACCATACTGACATCGGGTTTGCGTCGGAAAGCGAGCTCGTACGGCGTGATCCCAGAGGGCAGCGAGGCGTGCTCCACACGGTTGCGCACCCAGACGGCCTGCGCCAGCGCCAGGTGCCACCAGTGATGCTACACACCCATGTGCAGCAACATCGTCCGCACAGCCTCCACAATGCTGCGCATATCCCTCTCCGCCATCGCGTTCTGCTCCGGCGTGTACGGGCATGTGAGGTCATGGAGGATGCCTTTCTCGTCGAGGAAGAGCGTGAAGTCGTGTACCAGGAATTCGCCACCCCGATCAGTGCGCAACGCCTTCACCGTGGTCTTGCACTGCCGCTCTGCCATCGGGAGCCACTTCTGGAATGCCGCCAGTGCATCGCTTTGCTGGGCCAAAGGGTAGGCCCAGACGTACTGCGACTTGCGGTCCTTCAGCACCAAGAAGTAGCGGCTGCCGTCCTTAGCTGCTTCATGAAAAGGGCCACACAGGTCAGCATGCACCACCCCCAGCAGCTCATCCTCCTCCTCCCCCACAGAAGGAAAGGTATGACGGGTGATCTTCCCCCCAACACAGGAGACGCATGGCATGCCTGACTTGCCCCCCTTTTTCAACTCCAAGCGCTTCACTGACCCGTGAGCCGCAGTATGCTCTATGGCGTCAACACCGATGTGTGCGAGGCGCGCATGCCACTTGTCCACATTAGATCTCACGCCTGTCGCCAAAGTGCGCAGGGCCACCGTTTCACCCTCCTGCTGCCGCATCGAGCATGGCTGGAAGTTCGTGCAAAGAACACGTCCCTTGAACTCCGTACGACCAAAGAGCGACCCATCTGGCGCGCGCAGTAGAGTCACGTCCCCGGCATCCAGCAACTGCACGCCACTACCACGCAGCTGCCCAGCAGAAAGAAGCCTCGCCTGCACCCCATCTCCAAGGAGAGCAGCTGTGCCTCGTCCCTGCACCTCCTGAGGAGCGCCGTTGAAGCTAATGACTTGTTTGATACCGCTGCCGCTGCTGCTCATCTCCACAAAGGCAGAGCGATCTCCCATGAGATGGTGGGAGCATCCGCTATCCAAGAGCATGACGCTCGGGTTCGCCTTCACAGCAGCTGCAACAGCCTGTAAGCCCTCCCCGGCCTCAGGCTCCAGTACGACGGGAGGAGTATGCTCTACAACGGGCGTCACCATCGCACATGATGACTGCCCGCTCCCTTTAGAGACCTCACCCCCTTGCTTCTCACACTACTGCCTCCAAAACCCTCTCCACCATTGTCCGCCTCCTTATCCGCCCGATGCTGACAGAACTTAGCAATATGACATGGTTGTCCACACACATAGCACTTCCCCTTGAAGCCCCCTTTCCCCCCCTTCGGCTAGCCACCCTTAGCTTATTTCCTCTTCTCCCCTCCCTCACTAACCACACCCTTATGCTTAGACTGCTGCTGGTGTGCCGTAGTGGGAGGGGAAGGGGATGAAGTCTGCTGAAAATAGGGCTTACCCTTCTTGGTAAACACTTGGTTCGCCTGGGGAAGGAATTGGTCCTTCCGTCCCTCCGCCGCCAACGTACACTCCTCCTTGATAATGTAGCTAGCGAGGGTGTCCTCGTCCAGCTCCTTCCGCACCTGCGGCAGTTTCAGCATCCTACGTTAGAGGTTGTACTGCTGCGGCAACCCCTTCACGACGTGAGTAATGTACGACGCTTGCGAGTAATCTACGCCGGCCATCCTCAGGTTCACTAGGATCTGCTGCCCACGGTTGCAATAGGACGTGGCGGACTCGTGCTCTCCCATCTCGAGGTTAGTGAGTGCCTGCTCTAACAGACCTATGTACAGGTCGTCCTTCGCCATGTACGTGCGCATGATAAAGTGCCACGTCTGAAAGCCGGCATCTACCTTCATGCGACACGCCTTAAGGGCGATGTGTACAGTTGGGGAGCAGCATCGGGAAATCGTGGTGAACGTCAGTAACTGCATTGCGCGAAACTGTGTGACAAGCGCAACTGCATGCGCTGGGGGAGCAGGTGTGTTACCTTCGATGAATCGCTAGAATCTATCGAGCAGGTGTGGGCGATCTCAAGCTGTGGCTCGATAGATTCTACCCACGTTGACAGGTCGTGACGTCCTTCTAACGGCCTAGGTACGATGATCTTGTCTAGAGTGAATTTGAAGAAGCCATAGTTGGGGGCTATTCCCTCGTCCCTCGCCATCGATCCAATCGGGGTAACGCCCGGCATAGCCTCACTATCGTACTCCTCCGCATTCCCTCCTCCAGCAACGCTCCGTCGTCCTACATTCGCACACTCTCGTGACGCCGCCGCTCGATGAACACGCTACTGTACACTGCCGACGCTAGCCGTACTAAACCGAGTCGGTCCTCGCAGGACCCCACGCGACATCAACCCATCAAGCTCCTTGTCATCGCTATCTCCGTCATCGACAGCCATATCCCACGCACTAGTTCCTCCCGCAGCTTGTTCGACATTCTATATACGAGGCGAAAGGTGCTCACGACGCCGACGCGAGCGCAATCCCTCCAACATGAGCTCGTATTCGATATCACTAACCTCACCACAAGAATGACGGGCCACGAGATCCTCCTCTAGGGCGCGCAAATTACCGGCCTCCATGTTCGCCTCCTCCGTACTCATCCTCTACAACGTCTCAATAAGGTACCACAAATTAAAATAAATTGTCCCTTCCTTAAATCCATCGTCTCGGGGTCACCTCACAAGGGTCCTCAGACGAGTGGTAATAAATTACCAAACACCCTATCCTTGGGTCCGAGAGCGTAACTGGAGGGATATTAAGAGAGGTTCAACTTAAATTAATGAGCGCAATTCACTAACGCCGCACGCCAAGGCGAGTATACGAACGCGAATATAAACGACGACGGAAATCTATGTGTGTTCGTTCCACGCTCACCGCACCATGAAGGAATACTATGGAGAGCGCGTAGCGATAGCGAGGAACGACGATGGAAATCTATGTGTGTTCGTTCCACGCTCACCGCACCATGAAGGAATACTATGGAGAGCGCGTAGCGATAGCGAGAGAGTTTCTGCTACGTGAATGGTGTTGCGCCAGCAACTCGATAGAGTTTCGGTAGCGTAAGTCTCAAATGACTAAGTGAGAATCCAAGTAGCAATTGGACTTCACTAGAAATTGTATTATGATCCATGCATTCAAAAGCAAAAACACAAGTTTGATATAGGCAGACGAAAGTTCACAAAAGGTTGCGTGGCGCTTCGGTGTAACCCAACCCCACGAAAGTTGTGTGTGGGTGAGTGAACGCGCCTCGCCAAATTCCCAACCCAACTCAGAAGGGAAGTCAATGCCGAGCACGCCGATTCTCCAGCACAGCTACCACGAACTACTCACAACTTCCCTAGACTAGCACACACTTCCAAGAATCATAGCCACGACTTCCTTAAGCTAGCACCACCACAGCAGTGACTTCATTAGCGCCGTCATAGTCGCACGATATCAGCACCCAACCATCTCGAAGTCATAGGGTCGGTGCAGGGCAGCGTATAGTCTTGGTCGTTCATCGACCTGCCAAGTCAAGCCACATCGTCGAGGGCCCTTGCTGTCGTAACAGTCCAGATAGACTCAAAATGCTTGGACCACGTCCACTTCTTATTAGTAGTACAGATCCGACTCAGCATCTGTTGTTCCTCCAGCAGAGCTCTTTGAAACTTGCCACCTCTCCGGGCCTTCTCCGTTTTCAGCCACGTTGCTTTTTTGGCCTTGACTACACCCGTGCATGCTGACGAAATGCGAAGATTATCCTTCTCATCACTTGCGCTTGGATTGTTTTCCTCCTGAAGGCAGCATCGCACCTATCCAACCAAAGTTGATGCAAGGTGATGGCAATCAGCGTAGCCTCGGGGAAGGCCGAGGTTGTTTCCTCCCTGCGGAAGAGGAGGTCCCCCAACAAAAACATCATACGAAGTGGGTTCAGAAGGTGGAGTGCCCGTTTTAGAGCAGTCACCACCACTTGGATGCATGTGCATGAGAAAAGACTATGCTCCAGTGACTCTTCTTCAATACAGTGCGGGCAAACCGGTTTGTCGCTGAGGAAAGCTAATCTTTACCCAACTTGCAGGTTGAAATTGTGCACTCGAGTGAGGACATCACTCGGCCAGCTGGGTATGACAAGGGATTCTTGGATGCCCGTAAGTTTGTCCCAATTGATGAAGCCGCTCCATTTCTTGAGCGAGGCAACCTTTTTGCCTTCAAAGGTTGGCGCTGCGGAAGGCGTTGTTCCCCTCCAGGACTTGAGCAAGCCGAGCTGGGATCCAACAACAGCTCCCTCCATCATTCAGGGGACGCTGCAAAGGCTTTCAGCACGAGCCGCCTTTCTCTCCAAACTTCACCGTCAAATCCACCATGGATTATAGCTCCCAACCCCCATCATGTTGTTGCTTCATCAGGTTGCTAGGATTTAGGTCCCACAGCCGCTCCGCGTGTTTCTGACCTCCCACCAGCGTAGCAACCCTCACCAGGATCGCCTTGTTGAAAACAAGCCTCTCTTTTGCCACCTCCTCACTTGTTGCTCCCTTCGTCCGGATGCCGAGGGGGGATTTCATGAAAGTTTCACATGTCTTCTTCCACCTTTGACTCCTCCTTTTTCAGTGCTTCAGGAGTTCGCCGTGTGTGGGGAAAGAGTCAAGCCCCATTCGCATGCATCATCAGAAACTTCGTGAGGTGATTTGACTCCGTCATTAGCAGGCCGACGCGTCTGGCTGCCAGGCACGCCAGTGTAATGCCTGG